TCTACTTACCATGAGGACTGAGTGAACGTAAGCGCAAACCTCGATGCAAACGTCTACCATGATGATCATGTATGCATTTAAATGCATGTCGATTGTAGCCTTTGATTCCAGAAATATTTCTTAATTCATTAAATTGTATCGCATTTAAGACTCCTTTGTCATATTTTATCCCAATAATCTCCGGAACACGATGTTTGCCGCGATGCCCAGATCTGAATCCAAGCCTTTTACAACGTCCAATCTCAAATCCATGTTTTCCACGATGGCCAGGTCCAAAACCATGTTTTCCACGGTGTTCAGGTCCACGTTCATCATGATGACTTGATCCCCTATGCGAACTTGAATCCTTATGGTAATCCAAATTCTTATCACAAGATTCATACAAACCGATTCTTTGTCCACCGCTTCGGAACAGACGCCTTCTCATACCACGACGACGAGAAATAACAAAATAAATTTCCGAATCAGAAACACATTCCGCCCATTTATTTCCCTGTTTAATTATTTGTGTGCCATTATCATGTTCTTCAATTTGCATATCTTCCATTGCGACGGTAGCAGCATCAACCATCTTTTTATAGGTAGACAAAGCGTCTGGAGTTTCAACAATAGGTTCTGTGCTATTCAAAGTTCCGATATTTTCTTCTGCAGTTTCCATTTTTTCTTTTTTCCAAAATGATTCTGAATAGAAATATATTCAATTTATATTCAATATATGCCCCTCGGTGGATCAGGAATTTTGAATTCAAGAATACTCAAAACAGCTGCTTTTTATACGCGTTGTAGATCGGAATTCGGGTATATAAAATTAGCCGATCTTGGATTGCCAAGTTTGTAATACAATAGAGCTATTCTCACGAAATTTCGCACGTTGATCCCGCATGCGTCATTCATCACAAACAATCTTAAAAGTGTTAACTTTATTTATAAAACAAGTCCGATTACTTTATCCTCTAAATGTATTGACAAAGCAATTGTGCGTCTTTTCAGAAAATAGAGTATTCTGCGCAAATACATTTGTTACTATTCTTTATTTTATGTTCTCAAGAAATTCGTTATTTACAATGTATAAAAAAATTGATATTATGACAATTAGCATTATTAGCGTTAGTTATTATGTCATCAGTTATTACCCTTATAATTAGTTAGCATTGTTATTATTTTATAACTCAATTGTGTACTGCGGTAACTAGAATTCAACAATTTTATATTTGAACTTTCCTTCTATTGTTACTAATCATGAATTTATAAATTCATTGAAGCTTTCGTGTGACAACTTTTTTTTTTTTTTAATAGTATAAACAATAATAAATAAAAAACAAAGTACCCTAAGGAATTATTAAAAGTATTATTATATTATCACCGGTATATCAGTAATCCAATTACATATTGTATATTATAATAATATTAATATTAGCTATATTTTATAATTATCAACAATATACAGTAATTATCGTATAAAAATATTGTGTACAATTAAATTGTATTAAAAATAAAAGCTTAATTATATGCTTGATATTTTATATCTTGATTTTTAATTTTTTTTAATAATCACTTTTTTATTTTTTTTTGAATATAATTTAAAAAAACAAATATTTTACCTTTTACATAATTCGAAATATTCTTTAATTATTTTAATCATTATTTTATAATTTATTATTTAACTTATTATAACTTTTATGGTAATTTTTCTATTTTTAGACTGTTTTATATTTTAATTAACTTTTTCTAAAATTTTTTTTTTATTTTTTTCCTTTGTTATAAAACTTATAAAACTTATAAAACTTTAATTCTTAATTTTTTAATTTTTTAATTTTAATGTTAAAAATTTTTAATATTTATTTTTTTTGTTTTATTTTTATTTATAAAATTATTCAATATTTATTTCAATATTTTTTTTAAATCCTGTTTATATTTCTTGATAAAATTTATTTATAATTCTTTATATTAATCAAAAAAAATTTTTAGTATATATCTCTTATATAATAATCCTAATTAAAAAATATTTATTTAGTATAATATCACTCATATAACATTTATCAAAAAATAAATAATTTGATAAATTAATGACATAAATAAATTATCAATTGATTTTTACTATATAATTCAATATAAATAAATAATTCAATGTTATTTATCATATAATTTATACTATTTTTACTATATATTTCATTAAAATTTTCTCAAAAAATTATTATTTTTATTTTAATATTTGCTAAAATTTCAATTTTGTTAAAATTTACATATTTATTAAATTTTAATTATATATTATATTTACAATTTAAAGGAACTATATCTAAATATTTATAAAAATCTTGTTAATTTGAGATTCTATATCTAAATAAAATAAATCAGTCAAAAATATTATAAATAACACTAGTTGAAAAATATTTATTTAGCATAATGCCACTTGTATAATATTTGTCAAAAAAATAAACAATTTAATATATTAATAACATAAATAAATCGTCAATTAATTTTTACCATATAATTTGACATAAATACTATAAATCATCAATTAATTTCTATTATATAAATCATTAATCAATTTCTATTATATAATTTAATATTATTTGTCATATAACATTTTTATTATAAATTTTATTAAAATTTTTCTCAAAAAATTGTTAAACATTCATCAAAATTCATATATTTATCAAATTTTTAATTATATATTATATTTACGATTTAGAGGAATTATAACTAAATATTTGTAAGAGTCTTGTCAATTTGAAATTCTATATTTAAATAAAATAAATTAATTAAAAATATTATAAATAGGGATTATGCATTCATATCTAACTGAATAAAATTTAGTATTCTACAATTCAACATTTACATTATTTTCATATCCAAAATAAAATCTATTTTCTATCAAATTAACCAATTTGTATCACCAAGTAAAGGCCAATCAATGTTCAATAACATTTTTCAAAAAGTTTATCAAATGTATAAAGAAGAATTGAATTTGTTCTAGATATAAATCAATACTTCTATCATGATTTACAAATATAACTAATATAAATAAGCTTTTAATATTTCATGAAAATATAACAAAATTAAATATTTTATTCCCAATTTGATATCTACCATATTGATCTGCTTTATTATAATAATTATCAAATTTTCATTATCTTTTATAAATGGCTTTCGAAAGTCTATAGTTTAATAAGAAGCCTCAAAATATTTAACTAATAGATCTAAATTTCAGTAAATATCAATAAATTTGATTTTTTTAAATACAAGAATTTACCTGAAAAATGTTTAAATCTATTGATTATTGTTTCATGAATATTATATATATTATTTAAAAATCAATATAGTTCAAAAATTGAACTGATATTGGATTACTATTTAAAATTTCAAGTTCTTAATTATTAGGATAAGATATTGTTAGATTAATAATTAAATGATTATTTATTAATCTTCACATTAATTCGGATTCAATATTTCAGTAACTATTAGACAATGAACCTAGATTAAAAATTCGTAAAATACTATTTTTGAATGTTAAATTTGTTAAAAAACTTATCTAATATACTATTTATCCTTTCAAATAAAAAGTATTAAAATGTATATAATGGTCTATAATTTTACATGCATTCATATACTGTAAATATAATAAAAAATAAAGATTCAAAGTAATTTTTTCTTTCCCATATTTTCATTCTATTAGTTTAATCATT